ACAGAGGCAGGTGAAGCAAGACAGGAGCCCAAAGCAGCCTAGGCTAAACAGCATTTTGAGTGGCAACAAACTGAAAAAAGTTGAATGCAAACTCAAGTTTTTATGGACATAACAAAGCACAGAGAACTTGTTAACTTAGAAAAGGGAAGAGAGATTAGAAATTAGCAATATTGTTTAAGGTCCACATGCAAACACTTAACTGGTAAACGTAAAAGTAATCAGGGAGATAGATTGCCTCTTGATGCTTTCAGCGCTCCTGCTGCTATTTAAACTATAACAGTAATAGTAATACTAATTTAAAAAAGCATACAGAACCACTAATTTTAAATGCAACTCACATGCTTGAAGTAACACCAGACTATATATTCTGTTGAACTAGAATGCAGCTCTCCAATGACTGGTTTTACACTGGTCTGCCTTTTCAGCCCCTTTCACAGTTTTCCAGTTTGTATGTGATCTTCACTACACTTTTTAGCTATTGCCACGTTTGGCACTGTGCCCAAAGGCTGAAAGGAACTCAAAAGGACAAGCAAATATTGTTCTACTATGCAAGTACAACCTAGTGCGTCTTCCCAGAGAAGCCTCTGTGTACTGCATCCAGTACTGCGTATGCCAGAGATCACCCTCCCTATGCACACGTACCTGCATGGTGCCTGGGTCCCCAACTACTCAAAATGCCTTTACTTCAGGCTGGTTTCTGACCACTTGTCTTTTAACAATATTAATTAAAAATAAATTGGAAGGGGGAGGACAGAATCACCTTCAGATGCAATTCAACAGTTCTTTTGTGAAAAATAATTTCAACTGGCACAAAGGAGATTGTTTCATGCCTTTGCAGTTTCACAGATACTAACCTCCTAAAGACCTTATTATGCAGACAAAAAATACAATAATTATTATTATATAGACATAGCTTGATAGAAGAGTATTCCTGCTAGAAGAAACCCATGCATAGAGATTTTAAAAAACACCATAGGCACGGTATACAATGGATCTACATTTTTTTTCCATTGACATTTACTAGAACTAAAACCAGTTATGACTAAACTATCCATCAAGAAAACAACAAACACACTCACTCCTCATCTAGGGAAATGACTGGGCCAACACAGAATCATTTGAAAAAAGAGTGAACACTAAATAGAATAGTGTGATACAGCATCTTTTTTTGTATGGTATGGATAAAACAGCCGGTATGCAGCCAACATAATCTGAACTCAGTCACAAACTACTTCTAGCAAGAGTGGGTTCACCCTCTCCTCCTGCCTGGCTTGCATCTTTAACTTAAAGATTAGCCCACAGCAAAGAGTCACAGAAAACTAACTTCTCATAGTATGTGCTAAATTCCAAGTCCTTAGGAACCGAAATATTTCATCTGAAAACAAGTCAAATCTTCGTGAGTTTTTAAAAACTAGTATTAAACAGGAAAGAATCCTCAACATTAGTACTTCAGATAAATATTAGAGACAGCACTGTATCATTACTTCAGCTCAGAACATCATTCAGGCATTCTAAGGGTTTTGTTAGGAAAGATTATCTACCAAAAGATAAGACTAGTCCAGAATAAGAACTTTTTCTTACAATATTTAAGTTACCTGTAGCTAGCCTGAAATTCTTCAGTGCTGCTTTCTAGGTTAGGAAGATTTAATCAAACGGTTAAATCCATGGAAACTTGAGCCAGCTAGAAAAAGCTTCGGTATGTTTTAAGCACTGCAGCACTTTGTTATTGTTTTAGAAAGAAGTAGTGACAGCTTGGAACAAGAGCTTACGAAAGTTTGCTGATCATGTTTAAATATTTTAAGGTCTTTAAGCATCTCCCACTGGATCTTTGTATTTTAAGTTATGGATGAGAACCAGCATAGTCCACAGGACAGACATAGAATAGAATCATAGAATAGTTAGGGTTGGAAAGGACCTTAAGATCACGTAGTGCTTGGGACTGTCCCATGGGCAGGGACACCTCACACTAAACCATGCCACCCAAGGCTCTGCCCAACCTGGCCTTGAACACTGCCAGGGAAGGGGCATTCACAACCTCCCTGCGCAACCCATTCCAGTGCCTCACCACTCACAGTAAAGAACATCCTCCTTATATCCAATCTAAACTTCCCCTGTTTAAGTTTTAACCCAGTACCCCTTGTCCTATCACTACAGTCCCTAGTGAAGAGTCCCTCTCTATCACCCTTGTAGGCTCCCTGTACATCTGTACAGTACAGTACTTCTGTACTGTGGAATGCTTAATACTGCCCATTTCCTTATAGGTTTTTTCAGCACTATTACACATAAGCAATTTTAATTGCTTATTACTTAGAATTTAGGTATAGTTTTAGATCTATTTTGAGTAAAGAGCAATACATGATCATCATCTACTTCAATGTTTTCATCTTCCTTTTTCTTGTAAATAGCAGAACAAAAGCCTTTGTCTTCATTCTCAGTTTCTTGGCACAACTGGGTTGGTTTTTTCTGGACACTGGGAAGGATCATAAAGTAGCATATGAAGGCTGACTTTACAAAGTTACTTCAGTGACAAGCTAGGATATTTTTCTCAAGTGCTCTTAAGCAGTAACTTATTTTAGTGGTGTCCAACAAAATTTTTTAAGACCCCTTTCTTCAGAAACTGAATTTAAGACACGGTTTTTACAATGCCTGGTATGGAAACACCTAAGTTCATAAGTGTTCTATCTTACAGTATCATTCTAGTTTTGTGTGCCTATAAAAGACTTCTAAGGTAAGTCCAAAACACGTGTGTTGTAAAAATATCAAGTGACCATGGAGATTTACAGTTAAGTCTATCAATAATGGAAATTATAAAAATGGTTCCAGTACATCAGATGGATTTGACTTGTTTTCAGAATTACCCCATGGATCTTTAAGATAGCTTTTTGTAAGTTAAAGAGCTGTAGGAAAGTTCACTTAAAGCAAATGGGAAGACTTCACCTTGCCCTGAAGTTAACAGATCTGGTCTCTCAAACTGTAAACCATACTTTGTATCTACAGAAATAAATGAATTTGGGTTAGTATCAAACAACTTAGGATAAATTGTCTAGCCAGATACTAATAATGGGAGAAAGCTAGAGTTTGAACAGATTCTGACTTTAAGATACAGATAAGTGGCTTTGCAGTAATCTAATTAAGATAATTCTCTCCTGTATCTCTAAAAATACTTACCCGTTCTGTCTCTGCTACTGAGCTGTATTTCTCTAGTACACAAATGTAGTGTATCTTAACATGTAGAGTCCTGGCATTTTTTTTTCATTCCTTCTCTTACCCCCTCCCCCTTTTGCCTCCCTTTGGAGTGAGGCAAATCCAGTACTAGAGTTCACAGCAAAATTTAGCACAGCTCTTTTTGCTACCACTCCACCTGTAGCTACCTTTCCAAGTAAACAGCAGTGAAGAATGATTAACATTTAGTACCATTTACATCCACATGGGAGTGCTAAGCACATACCATAAAAATGACAATTTACAATCATTTCAAATATATGTTAATCTTTTAGGCATTGGAATTACACATCTAGATCATGACCACGGAGCACCACATTTCTTTAAATGATCAAGTTAAGCTTTAAATCCAGCTTTAAGTTTAGGTTAGGCATTTAAGAAAGCTTGTTTCATAAATGCAAAGCACCCAACAGCATCTAAGTCCTACTGCTATGCCAGATGTACAAATATAGTGCCTTTGTTTTCAAGTATTTGGGAAGTTCAACATGTAAATGCTCTTCAGTAGACGGAGCATTTTATTTAGAGTCACAGTACCAGCTGCCTCTGGTGTGACATCTGTAAGAAAGATTATTATTGTAACTCTAGGAAAAGTAAATACAGGGACATGCTGCACAACATCGAGCATAAACAGCCCAAATTAGCCTAGTCAAGTGATCACTACATTAAATGAAGTCTACTTCCCTCCTTTTCTTTCTACCCACCGCAATCCTTTTTCCTTATGAGAAACCACGTTTTCAGCTTCACAGTATGTATATACGATCATCAAGTTATTAAAATATTTTTTTATGTACCATCTGTAATTTGGATTGGATAAACTACTATAGCAGTAAGCACCAGCATATACTGTTACTTACCCCATTTCATCACCTTGCATGTAGGCCTAAAGAGTCTTCAAATATATCTGCACCATCTAAGTCTGCAGAAGCAGCTTAAAGCTATTGAGAATAGAGAATTGGGGTGTCCTGCTAATTAAACACACACCCCCTTTTTGAGGACTTTGATACAATAGAGAAAATTTAAGCAGTTGAGAGACTGCTGAGGCAGAAAACATTTAGTTTTATATTACAATAGAAGTTTCTATCAAATTCAGCAGTAGAACAAAAGTTCACACTGCCCAACAACAGCATAATTTTTACTTTGTTCTATTTCATCACTTTTGTATTTTTTTCCTTTCAAAATAAGAATAAAGAAAACAAACATCCTGCATGAAAAAATTCTACTATTCTATAGAATATTAGAGAAATCCCACTAAGACATGGTGGGGGTTATGCAGACAATTAGCTATCTAGACTATCAAAATATTTATTATTCAGCCACCAAATGAAAATCACTTTTTAAGTTCCTTACTGGAATGCCTTTCATCATGTCATTTTCAAGGCATGGTTACTACTAATGAAATTCATTCATGATTTCCAGAAGGTAGTATTACTACAAATGGCTTAAAATGATGATATTTAAGATACCACAAAGCTTGGAATTCAGCTTCAGAAAACAGTATTATGCTCTATGAAGTAGTAGTGACATGAGTATGCTGGCAGATCTACAGACTGACATTGAACAGATTCATCTGTATGATATGTAAAATGGATTTTTATATAAATGTTCTGCTACTGGCTTTTTAGCTGCTCAAGGTGTGCCAGGAGCAAGCAAATGAGGACATGGGTATGCTCCCCCCCACCCCAACTTCCAGGGGCATGTTGTATGATTCTAAGAAGCCGATTTAAAGTAACAAAACCAAACATCAGCAGAATTTCTCTTAGCTAAGTGTTAACAAGGACTTATTGTAAGGAACATTGTTTATTGTATTACTTTGATAATGCACAAAAATATTTGAAATGTACATTAATATTCTCATGTACAACTCACAGCAATTGATCCCCTTAACTGAAAAAAGGTATCTAAATACTCTGTATTGCATTTTATAACTTTAACTAGACTTTTTAAAAACAAGTTTTCACATTCACACTTGTCACTCAGTTGTAGACATTCTTAAAATAAACAGCATTTCCTTTAAATTGGTACCACCTCAACACTTAACACAATTTTATATTTGCTATCAGGTTTTACTGAAAATTTAAAATTGAGATAACTGCACGAATTAATATAGAACATAAAGGGTTAAATGTGGCATTCTAATTTTCTACACTGTTTTGCCAACAATACAAACCACCAAAATCCAACAAGAACCAGGCAGCTGTTAATTTGTGGTTTTGTTACATGTTTACGCCATGGTAGCTTTCCACATTCTCACCCAACTTGTTTAAACAGCCATTTTAACTGGACCAAAACCCTAGGGGGGAAAAAAGGGGAATCTGCATATGAGTTCTACCACAGTGTCATTTAATATGAAATGGTTTTAGGTAATACTTGTAGAAATGCTACTGTTGTAGGTATTCACCTTGGCACTTCTTTGGGTTTTTTTTTTTTTCTTTAAGGTAAGTTAGAGAAGCATGTGCCAACAGGTAAAAAAAGAACTATGCCTCCCAAGCAAACCTGCTACATACTTTCAGCAAGAGATAGCTACTAAAATTTAAAAGTTTATTTTAACTATAGCCCCATTTTGGACCTGGCCTTGCATTCCTCAAGGTGAGATCTACAGGACTTTTGCCTGAATGAAGAACTGTATGATCACTCTTTCCAGTAAGCAGTTTTGTTTAATAGGTATTTAACTACACAGCAGTGTGTGCTTTTGTGTGTATATGCATATACATACACTGATAGGCACTGTATAGCTATATAGACAAGGCCAGCTGCAATTTAACTTTGAAACTGTGTCCTTTTTTAAAAATAAAACTTTTGGCTCCTTGAGCTCTGATGTTAGCAGCTATTTCTAATTTGCAAAGTCATCAGGTAGCACAACAGTTTAGATATAAAATTACTCATAAAAATGTAAAAATCTGTATATAGTAGAATATATGGGAGATAATGGTGTTAAGTAGATTGCAGGGTCACAAGATAGTCATACCCAGAGTGCAAAAAAAGTCAAGACTCGCTTCCAGCTGTACCAGTCACACAAAGGCCTTACCTTCATTAGCAAGAATAATGCAACAAACCACTTCCCATAACTGTGTTATCTTTTTATATACTTCAATATGCTGATACCACACTTTTACATTTTGGCATGGTTTTTGCCCTTACGCACTCCAGACTCTGAAGATGAGATTTTTGGGTGCTTCTGTGGATGAGTGATAGTAATAAAAGTGTTAAGGTGGGCTTTGGCACCTCTATCTCATTAGTAAAGCAAAGTCCTGCTCCATTTTTTCTTTAATAATAAAAAAAAAAGTCCCAAGAGTGGTGCATTCTATTAGCACTGAAGAGCAGAATAGGTCGGTACAGCGTGATGATAGGAGAACATATGAAATGGCAATATGTGTATCTACAATTGTCTTTCCAACCAATTGCACAGAAACTTGGTCCACTTCTTCAGTTACAGTGTAGTCCTCTTAAGAACTTTGGTTACAGCATTAATGTTTTTGTAAGAAAGCAAACAAAAAAACAGAGCAGATGCTTTCCTTTTCTTCAGGTAGATTTTTCATTGTCCTCTCCGGTCTTCTGAACCCGTGAATACTTTTTGCATGAAGATTTGAAGCAGCTGGGAGGCCAGGATATTGGCCAAGAAAAGCTGCAAGGAACAGAGCCTTGCACATTCTTCTCAAAGAAATAGAATATTGGATACCACCAAGCTCGAGAGAGAAAATTCGTCTGTGAAGACACCTTTAAAGTCTGTATTGGCACAAGAAGGTAAAGAAGAAAAGGAAACAATCAGTTTAAAGCATTACAATCAATTACATTGAGTCACAACAACCACAAAAAATTCAATATATTTGCATGCATTTCTGTAAAGACAAAGTGCATTCAGCCTAGAAAAAACAAATTACTGAGGTAACGTATACATCATAGTCCAAATGTATACTACAAACTAAGCATCTTTAACAGAAAAAGATGCTTCATTGCTATACAATATTCAGGGAGACCAAGCACTCACATCTTTGAATGCAAGTCCTTTCAGACATGTCACGTTTCCATTGAAACTAGTTGAAAACTAGATTGAAATGGCTTGAGATCTATGCTCCTGCTTGAAGGTGTTCTTAAAATAACTGCAGCAGATACCTTCTGAACAATGTACTTTTAGTGACAGTTACAGACAGAACTGCCACTAGATTTTTAGGATGGTCTAGGTAACTTAGGTTGGTTATAAATTACTAAACTACTGTGTATTCATAAGCTTAAACAAACAAGGGCTATTCTATACATGAACTACAGCAATAAAACCTTAAAGTTCAAGAAGTGTTTATAAGGAATTTCAAAAATTAGCTTTGTAAAAATAATTTTTGCAATAACTTATTAACAGCCACAGATCAAAAAGAACATCTTAATTCATTAAATATTTACTTAAACCACAGTAAAGTGAAACTTTCTGCCCAATTTGTTTAAACTTCAATATGGAACTCCTATTTTTATTTCAAAATTAAGAACCTGTGAGCATTATTAACAAATGCAGGCTATACATTGACTCTGAAGATATTTGCTACTCACCTTTTCATTAGCCATTGAGTGGTACCACCAGAAAAGCCGTGTGGTGATATAGTAAGCAATGATGACATCTACGGTGTAGTGTTCATGAGCAACAAGGATACAAATTATGCCAGCAGCACTCATTAGCCAGCAGATTAAGTGATACCACCAGAAATGACGTGGTGAATCTGTGAAATAGGAAAGTGATGGAAAAAAAAAGAACCACACAAAAAAAAGATGTATGTTGTTATAGCAATCCACAAAGGGAAGGGGAAAACATAAAAGATGAAATAGGTGAGATTTAGGTTGGATACAAGTAAGAAATCCTTCACTGTGAGAGTGGTGAGACACTGAACAGGTTGCCCAGAGAAGCTGTAGATGCCTGTCTCTGGCAGTGTTCAAGGCCAAGCTGGACAAGGCTCTGAGCAACCTGGTCTGTGTGAGACACCCCTGCCCATGGTAAAGAGGCTGGAACTAGATGATCTTAAGATCCTTTCCAACCTAAATCAGTCTATGATGCTATGATTATTTAATTTGGGCTACTAAATTTTAAAGCATAACTCATTTATACCACACTAGTACAAGAACTTTGTTTTGACACAGAAAACAAGACTAAAGAATTACACAAACTTACTGAGGTTTTCTTACTTTGTAAAGTGAATCCAAGAAGAGCTTACAGAGATAGACAACACCACTACCCATTTTCTGGTCAGATTAAGTTTTCCAGTTAATTCACTTCTAGGGTATGGGGTGCAGAGCAAGAGACAGAATTGAGGCAAAACATACACTTTATACACTTGGGTGTATTGAGACTGCTCTTTTTACAGTCTATGCTCAAGTAAACTTACACTCTAGTAAAATATCTAGAATTGATATAAACTTGAGCAGAATCATAGATTAAACAGGAAAAGATACTTGACTTTTAATTCCTAGGTTTTACCTGCTTTGCATGAAACCTCTGTTCTGTGCAACAGAATACACTGTACAGTGAAGTACAGTATGTGAATTTATACCCTTTCATTAAAGATTAACAAATGGGAGTGAAGCTCTTCTTCAAAATGCATTTAAGCCACTTCAGTGGAAAAGTTCTCCTGCCCTTCTGTCCCCACTGAAAAAGGCCTTGGGTGTCACAATGACCATTCATAACTTCTGCCAGGCTAACGGGCTTCATTTCACTCTCAGTGGGAGGTTTTGGCACCCCTTGCCTTGTGCGGCAATGGTCAGCCTTTACTTTCACACAATACCAGCAGAAAAGTTATGATCTCAACAAGCTTACACAGTAGAAGTTTGAGAGGCCCGTGCAAAACAGTTACTGTGGGACAACTTAAATTTTGGTGCAAGTGTCAAGACAGTAAAGTCTCTCAGCTCCCGCCAAAACACTGCAGACAAATCTGTATCTACTGATTAAAAAAAAAAATAAAAAATATAAGGAGCCAAATCATCTAAAGCAGCTGATGAAAACAGCCCAAAGCAAGACAAACTAAAGCTGAAAACGTAAATAACTACTCTGGGGGAAAAAAACTTGCAATATGGGGCAGTAAGTGAAGCAGCAAAGGATGAAAGAAAGAGCAGAGAAAAAATAAATCCACTAAGCCAGAAATAACAACCTCAGAATGCATCTTGCACTGCAGACGTGTCATCAAAAAAGCAGAAAAAGTACCATAAGCAACCTCTAATTCAGAGCAATTATAGGGCTTAAGTCCTTGCTCAGATAGTATTTTGCTAATTATATGGGAGTCAGAGAAAGGAAAGCTATTCATTTCTCATTTATAGAGCACAAGTCCTCTGAAATATATGCCAAACAATTAGGCAGCAAAGGGCTTATTACACATATCTGTATATTATAATTCCTCAAACCTCTTAGGATAGAAGTACAGGAGTTATACAAGCCACAGACATATTGGGTTACCTGCATCTTTCTGGTACTAAAGGTATTAAAAGGGTATGTGACCAGCATTAAGCTGCAGTAACATACACAAAACAAGGCAAACAACAGATGTATTAGGCTGTTTTAATAATACTGATGAGTTACACGTGCCATTCCCTCAGGAATGTTCACTTTACAAGAAAGACCCAGGCCTAAGAATCAGCAGACTATGAACAGCACCTTATATCCCTGTTTGAAGAAGAGTATCTTGCATCCAAAGATTTCAAGTTTGTCACATGAAACGGGCATTTCTATATCGTGGGCTTTGTGTAAGGCAGAACACAGCATTGCAACACCTTCCTCCCTCAACGTTTTCGTAACAGGAAGGCACTCAACTAATGCTGGCTAGTCTTAATTTTGTTTCAGTCAGCACATTCCCATGAGCCAATCTAGCATTTGCATAGTTTGGGACACAACAGTAGGAGAGAAGATTCCAATTCCAAATATGTGAACTGAAAAGGGAACTCCCCACTATGCATTCATGAGCGGCCAAGTTCCCAGGGTACCAGCATTGCTTACAATATATCAGATTCAGAAATTGGTGCTCTACTCTCTAAAGCTTCAATCGATGCTGTGTGTGCAGCACAGATTGAATCCCCCCCCACCCATGCACCACTGCAATGTAAAGCAAAGGGTGAAACCATAGCCCTAATTATATTTTTTTGTGTGCTTGCCAAATTTTTATCAACTTCAAGAGGCAAAAAGTAGGAGACCCTAGCAGAAGACATCCAAAGAGGACGAATCAACTTTTCACTGTTTGCAATAACTAACATATAGCAGACTTCACAAAAAAAAGCTTTGACTCTGCATGTAGTTTAGGTGTGTAATGGTGCTATGCTCACACCACAAAATAAATCCTTTAAAATCTAAGGTATGTCAGCCAATCTGTACAGAGCTAATTTACCTAATTATCTACAGAATGTTTTACCCCAGATTTGAGTAACCTGTTAATGAGTAATGAGAAGCTAGCTTCCTTCAATCAACTAGTACACACTATACATGTCTAGTCACATTAAGCCTTCAATTAAAGCCTACACCACTTCCACTACACCCATGTTCCATTTCCACTCAGAGTCATGATTTATATTTCAAACCCATACATGTACAGTCTGCATACGGCTGACCACTAACTGAGGGCTGTAGTTTTATATTTTGGTGCAAAAATATAAAACACATACTGAAACCTTTAAGGTGTGTTTTCCCAGTACAATGGATTTGAACAAGAAAAAAACATTGAAATACCATCACTTACACTCTTTGATGAACAGGTAGACCAGAGTTAATACCACAGTATGACCACTAAAGAGGAAGTCTCCGCACAGGATGTGAGATCCAGTTATGGATAGACCACCACCAGAAATCAGTCGTAGGATCCTCTGAACCTTTGCCTGCGCATCTCCGTTCAGCTACAACACCCAAAAAGAGTACCAAAAAAAAAACAACAACAGTTTAAGGTACACCATAAGCAACTTGAGTAAACTTCTTACCCAAACACGTGTGGAGTCAGGCAGACAGGGAGAAAAGGACACATCTTTGATTTCTTTGACTTTCTTTCCCATATTCTTAAACAAATGGGCATGCGCATCAAAGCTGTCAGGTGCCAACAACCAGCTTGGTAACACTAGCATTCTGCCTATGCTTTCCAAGGCTACTTTAAAATATGCACTGTATGAGAATGAGATGCACAGTATATTGGAAAGGTAAACATTAAGAATTCATAAGGTCAGGAATCTCATGATAGCAATTGATGGAATGGGTAAAACCCATTCAAAACTAGTTTCAATACCATACAACCTTGCGTACTGCTTGTCAGTCTGTTCAGAGCTGAGCAATTTTTCTACAGAGCAAAAAAAACCCTCGAACTAAATTTTACATTTGGTTACAAGCTCAGTCAAGACTTGCTCAAATTTAGAGGATTTTTTTTTTTTGAAACATACACGAGGATCAGCTTTTGACTTCTCATACACACTAGGCAAACACTCAGTTTCACCTAGCTATTTAAGATTAACTCGGGGGGGGGGGGGGGGGGGGGGACGACGCCCAAACACAAGCAAGTTAAAAGGATAACTCAGTTTTACATAATCAGAGAGATATTCACATGGGACAAAAACATAAATCCAGAAGAGCTATCATGTCTTTCCAGAGTTCAAGTAATTAATCCTGGTTTAATCCTAGCAATACGTACTTCTGGCAGAGACAGTTAAGTTTTCCTTTGCTTACCTCTCCCCACTTCTCAATCTACAACACACAAAGTCATTCCTCAATATATTAAAACAAAACAGTTGAGTCTTTACAATAGTGGTATACAAATAAAGATTTTCTTAAACAGATCCCAGTTCGTAAGTAGTTCATCCACTATGATCCTAAATTGTCCCAGTGTGAAAGAAGACTGAACAAACAGGTACCCCACCATCTATGTAATAGGAATTGCTGCAATACTAAGAGTGGCTCAAGCCTCGGGAACAAGTTTACTAGCTTGGTAGCAGCACTATTTTGACACAGGTGTTCTCCTTTAAAGCATCTTAACTGCAGCAACAACTTGAGGCTCTTTGCATATCTCACAATTTTTGGTTTAGTACAATCTATGTTTCTGAAGACATCAACTGAAAGTAATCTGTGTTACTTAACAACACCTGGAACATTAGCTTCTATTTGCTCTTATGGCCTCAGCCATAAGGGCTCAGGCAGACTAAAGCAAGAATTGGGGAGCAAAGACTCTTACCTTTGGCGCACACTGAAAATGCATTCCAGGCACAGGTAAGGTGGTAACATACATAGTAATACAGCGGTACAGATACAAAGTTCCCATTATAAAAAAGAACCTGCGTCCCACTATTGATCTGAAAGCAGAAGAAGGGTGGAGGGGAAAAATGAGTATAAAATTCACATGCAGGATACACATACAACCATTATGGCACTCTAGCTTTATTAGAAGTCTAAAACCCTAGAATTAAGGGGTAGCTCCATCCCCAGCTCTTTACCACACACTTCTTTAAATCAAAGGTTTCTTCAGTGCTGGCTCGTAATAGTACAGAGCTACCACAAAGCTTGCACCAATGTTAACATGACCTCAGTCTAACTTGGGTATGCAGTCAGGTGCAGTTTACCTTTGACTCTGTGTGCTTCTCTTTTTAGTCCCATATTGTAAGCATATACTTGACTTAAATATGTCATGAGACCTCACTTCAAGTATTGTGTGCAGTTCTGGTGTCCTCAACAAAAAAAAAAAAAAGACATGGAACTGTTGGAACAAGTCCAGAGAAGGGCCACGAGGATGATCAGGGGACTGGAGCACCTCCTGTATGAAGACAGGCTGAGGAAGTTGGGGCTGTTCAGCCTGGAGAAGAGAAGGCTGCATGGAGACCTCATAGCAGCCTTCCAGTAACTGAAGGGGGGCTATAGAGATGCTGGACAGTCCCCTCTTCATTAGGGGCTGTAGTGACAGGACAAGGGGTAACAGGTTAAAACTTAAACAGGGGAAGTTTAGATTGGATATAAGGAGGAAATTCTTTACTGTAAGGGTGGTGAGGCACTGGAATGCATTGCCCAAGGAAGTTGTGAATGCTCCATCCCTGACAGTGTTCAAGGCCAGGTTGGACAGAGACTTGGGTGAGATGGTTTAGTGTGAGGTGTCCCTGCCCATGGCAGGGGGGTTGGAATTAGATGATCTTAAGGTCCTTTCCAACCCCAACTATCTATTATTCTATGATTCTGTGTATAGTTTTAGTCAACACTGGAAAAAGCTTCCAATCTAGCTGTAGAAGACAAAAGGTTCTTCATCAAATTCAGAAGCCATTTCTTACATCAGCATGATTTCCTGTTTAAACGTTGTCACGTCAGTAAATACATGCTGACAAGCCCAATCCCAGAATAAATTTGACTTGTACAACATGGGTGTCAAATTCAGATTTTAGAAACATTATGCAATACTCAGGAGAAGTCTGTGTTTCTGTATCCAGCCTAGACAATGGAACAGTTTCTAAAGCAGTCATCCCTTTGGCATTTTTCTGCCAACCCCATTCTACAATATTGCTACAAATTCTACCATGAAATTTATTGTACTCAAAGCTAAAATTGGAAACAAGTGTTCTGAAAACATACACCAGAGGGAAAAAAAAAATATAGCTGCTTACTTGTATCTAAGAAACAACCACTGGAATATCCATAATCCAAGTAGTATCATTCCATTTATTTCTGATACAGAAAAAGCCCACTGCACACGATCAATGTAATCAAAAAATTTGTCAGGCAAGGGAGGGCTTAACTCCTTTGGAGGTACTCTCTCATGGACCACAGTGATCATGACAGTTGTTAGAATCAAGTTGAAGAGAGCATAGACAAAAGCAATGCCTGTTTTCCACCATTCCAGAGGAAATTTGTTCCTAGACTCAGCAGGCATAGCAATCTGGATGTAATCAGGATATTTCTTTGTTGTTTTTCGCAAGCCATTAGACAAGCCCTTTGGTTTGCTAGTGCCATTTTTGCTCTCTTCAGTAACTGAGAGAGTAGGTCGTGAGTAGCCGTTAGAAGCGTCATTGTTTTGACTCTCCATATGCTCTTCAAGTTTTGCTGTCTCAATAGTATTCATTCCCACGCTATATTCCCAAATAGGGTTTATCAGTGACCAACTTCTGAGCTCTGAAGTCTTATTTCTTCAAGTCCAATGCTCTTGTTCCTGGATGAATTTCTATTTCTGTTAAACTCTAACAGGTGTCTATTGTGCTTTCACTACTCAGATCCTGTCAAGCAAGTCATGAAGGTCAGTCTCTTCCTCTAGAGCTGTATCATCTGCGAAAAAATGAAATCCAAATAAATTCTGAGTACCTTCAGAACTAGTAATGTGACACAACGAAATGCTGTTCTAAGTTCCAGCCAAATTTACTTACATATGGAGTCAAAAGGCAAACTAGAGACATCTGGTTACAGAAAAACTTAATCTTTGATCAGTTTAGGAACTAGTACCAATTTCAAATTTTTTTAATTATATTTTAAGGACAAGATCCACAGACTTTAATGATGCTGACAGCACTTGTTTTATCAGTTGTCAGAATTAAGACTAATCCATGTCTGCAGCAATACTGACGTTTACTGCTATGGAGCACTGCATACAAAATATCTCCTTTTTGACCCTATTGACAGATATTAACATGGTTTGTCCATATAGATCAGACAATCATGTTAGTTCTGATGATAGAAAACAAAATGGCACTGCAGGATTTGATTTTGTAAGGCATAAAGTAATTTGGAAAAAATCTATTCCATGGGTAGATAGGTCTATTATATTTTCTTGGATCCAAATGAGTCTTTCAACGCTAAAAAACCCACAACCCACCCACAAGACAAAAACCTGGCTACACCACCAAAAACAACCACCCCAAACACAAAAGAAACTTGCACACACACACAAAAATAATCTAGATAGCTACTGCAGTACCCACTAAATAATGCCTGAAATTTCAGAGAACTGAGAAATACACTTCTGGATTAGATTCTTTGTTATAGTAACCTCTATGTAGAGCAGACCAAAAATGGATTGTTTGTCCTTTAGTTACTTTAAAATACATCTACATGGATATTTTTTTAAACAGGAACAAATAGCAAGATTCATTATCACACAGGATTTATTTCAGGCGATTCATTAAAATCACATTGGATAAAAAAAATAATCAGATATGCACACTTTTTATAACAGCATTTTCTACAAAGAATTGAATGCAGTTCACCTCCACAGAACTGACATTGCTCCCTGCTAGAAACAAAGGCTATTCCTCACCTCCGCTGTCTTTAAAGTTCTGTGAAACCACTTACTTATGATATACCTATTTTTATTACTCTGTTAGCTCCTATGACAAAAGCAGTATTACTGTATAAAAGTGTTCATTATCTACCAGCAATTTTAGTTTTTGTTTTATTGTTTCTCTAGGAGAAGTTCAATACTACCATCACCTCAAGTCTCAGCATGCCAATGCAGGCTGCCGCAGTTTGCCACACTATATGTGCCATGAAATCACCATGATGGAAACTAGAGTTTCTCCATAAAAGTATATCGCAAAACCTGGCAAAACAAAACATCCTGCTTAGTAAAAACCTGCCCAGTAACTGATCTCTTGATAGCAAGGCCAATCTAAAACCAACACAGCCTGGAAAGTCAGGTGTTTGTGTTTTGGTCCTCTTCCCTCATCCCCCCCAACTAGAGAAGACATTTAACATGGTCAGCATGTAAATCCCACTGATTTCAGCTCTTACTGCTGAAAGGGAGAAAGAGTAAAGGTTCAGATCCCAAACATGACTATCTCAGTATTATTTGTATAAATCTCCCAAGAAGAATTTCTAAGTTAACTCTCAGCAGTGTTTCCAAAATCCACTATCACTGGTTGACCTTTCCTAAATCCCTGATCAACAAGTTTATGTAAACTACAGACACATGCCTTGAACAACTCTCCACCACGCAACGAAAAACACTACCCAAGAAAACAAGTGGTGATTTCAGACACTTTCTCTCCCTTTTACTAATCATACTGTAAACTGTGCTACCCTAGAAGGGGAGGTTTAATCCATGAGGCAGGCATGACCTCTCAGATGCTTCCTACAAAGAATATTCTTTTAGAGTAGCTGTAAAAGCAACAGCTTACTTGATAGTGTAGTAGTAGAACAACACTGCAACTTTCACAAGTCCTATTTTAAACACACACATTCTATTCCCCATCTACTAAAGATAAACGTGACAGAATGCTTAAGTGACAGAGAAAAAAAAATTCTTAACCTCTGCAATTGCTTAAGTTTTGCAACACCAATCTACATAGAATTCAAAGTCAAGACCCTTTTTCTCAACATCACACACAGCAGTCACTGATGGAGGGATCAGCAAAACTTGATCTTTTGTATCTTGCATTGTGAAACATTTTTAGAAATATTCATTTTCTGAAAAACAGCAGCAGAGTTAATAGTAGCCTTTGTTAATTCCTTCTCTTCCCCCAAAATACCTCAAACATAGTAACATAACTAAAAGGAAGATTTTCAGATACTTAATGACATATAAGTAAGCCTTAAAGATCAAAGAGCATCTGAACTACAGATGAACAATAACCTCACAACCTAAAAGTACAGCGGCAGTCAAATTTTTACATTAACGTATTAAAGCAATTATACCTACAGCTTGCAGGAAAAAGTTCTGTTCCTTCTTGGTCCTTTTAAATGGATCATAAGGCATATTGATCTACTGTTTCTGATGCCTCATCAAGATTATTCCAAGCAGAGTGCATACTGCGGTCAAAACTTTGTTTACATTGATAGTTCAAGGCGCTATATATTATCTGATCAGCAATCTGCAAGAACATAAAGACTTTCCTTTACAGCACCTTTCCAACCTGTTCCTCCCGTACTCTAAAGGAAAGCAGAAACTATTGATGAAAGACAGAAACACTCTGCATGAAGCTTTCAGTCCCTTGCTGCCAATCTGACTGGCTGGACAAGTGACAGATAAAGAACACAAACAGTCTAATTCTCTGCTACAGGCTGTAGCATGTTAATTTCAGTTAAACATCCTATTGCTTCTTTTGTCAAACCTGGAATGCCCCCATATCCAAGCCACTAGATGCCCATAAACTGCCTAGTAGTAGGCCTTAGACTTCTTCGGTAACCAGGCAGCAATGCTCAGACCTGGTCATCTTGCCAACATCTAGGGTCTGAAAATCAAACCCAACTGCTCTAAACTATGGAACATCCACTGGGCGAGTCTCAAAGACTCACACAAAATTAGCAATGTAACCCAAAAGGATAAATACAATTCCTGTAACAGATACACTCACGTTTTAGGAAAAAGTTTTCTTTTTGGAAAAAACTTCAATACCATCTAAAAATAAATACCCTCTTCAAGGAGCAGAGCTTCTTAACCAGCAGTATTACAACAGAACTTGTAATTGCCACAAGAAACAAAGTATTTAAAGGAAAATCTTAGCAGTGAAAAAGATGAAAGAGCAGCAGAGATCCTAACTGTTTATCCTGAGTTTCTACTTGCTCCCATGCAAGTAGCTCCTTTATTTCTTCACATCTCCATTTGGCTGTCATTCTAAAGAAAATAGTTGACTGGGGGTACAGCTTTGAGACAAGTGTTAAGAAAGCACATCTATGTTTGGCTCTTTATGCTAGAACTGAAGAATAACAAATAGCTTTATTTAGCTTGTTAGTCATCCAATTTTCACATAAAGGTCATTTTCACATAAAGTTAGCTCACAACAGGTGCTTCTCATGCCATAATTGGCATTTCTGTAACATTTCTCAAACTATTTTAACTTTCATAATTTATTATGGACTGAATAGTCACACTTTAGATAGGCTTTCCAAATAAGCAGTTCTTAACCTGCTGTGCCATATATGAACAATACAATTGGAAAAAGAACATCTGTAACAGTAGGACTGATCGACTGACATTAAGGAAAGCTACATATTCATACACAAGGTGGAAAAGGTTTCTAAGCAGTAATATTTTTAAACCTCATTTACTTTTGTTAAGGTTGGCTCAAATATCTGAGGCAGCTGTAACATATTCCTGTATATGGTAGTTGTAGAAAAAGGGTCTGTAAATAAAGCACTAAAGAAAAATATGACACAGATAACATGAGGAACAGTTATAGTACCATATTGCTGTTCTCTATATCACAATTAGCAGGAAACAACTGCTGGCTAGTTTATGTTTTCTTCAGTCACATTTTTAGGACTATGTATGGGACCAGAACTAGAAAAGAAGCTGGGTAGCCTCTACTACCTTGACAGCAATGAATAAAAACTAAGTTTTTGGGGGTTCTTTAATTATTTTTTTTTTTCCCTAAGCATTTGAGGTCCCTGTTTTAATAGCATCCCTTCTTCCACGCTCTATGTATGTCCCACAGCATACAGGCCACTAGGGGGAAAAATGAAATACTCCCAAAACACAACTGCTAAGCAAGATCTGGGCAAAGTACATTCAGGTACGCAGAAACAGGACTGAGTTTAACAGGTCTACTTATTGTTTCTGTTTCCCTATAATTATTTTCAGAGTTGTGTTCACCATTCAGCTATACAATGTTTATGCTTACAATATACAAATACATGTACAAACTGAACTGCAGTTTATCTAAAAGTTATAAGTTTATCAACATAACAACATGGGCTGGCAACACATTTATAGCTCATGTGACGCTAAAGAACTGCAAGTAAGATAAAGCTGTATTACAGAATTGACAGTATTCTAGATACGGCTAAGTGCTGCACAAAGAGGAATAATCATTTCCCTATGAATCCTGGCTATGTTCCTGTTAAATACAACTCAGGACAGTGTTGGCTGCCTTCACTGCCAATCCACACTGCTAAATCCCTATTCAACAAAGCTGAAAGAAATACTGACATTTTTCCAATAGGCTAAAGACTCCCTCACAACTTCTTCACTCCAGAAAGATGACATTAAGTCTTCATCTTACTGAATCCAAAATGAGTCTGTTTCAGTATTTCACATCTGGGCAAAACAGCCTGCTAACTGGAACTGATACTTAAGCACTGAATCAGCTGCTTTTGAATGACAGCTAAAAAAAGGTGCTTTATCACTACATATTTTCTAACATTGCAAAGAAATGTTGGTCTTATGACCTTTTTTCCATTCATTAAGGCTGACTGTTACAAACACTCCATAAAGAGTGGAAGTCAGTGTACTACCTCAGTCCCATCAGGCAAAATAATTCTGGAAGAGTGCCAGAAGAAACCTTTGGATCATCAGGCTTTTATATAGTTTGCTGTGTGAGCGTATCAGGCTTTCC